TACTTTATACTTTATGCCTTTGGAATTACACGTTGCACAATTAACTTAATTTTTTTAATTAAAAATGTATACGCAATTAACAATGTTTAAATAAAAAAATTTAATCAAAATTGCTTTATCAAAGAATTTAATTAACTTTTCTTACCACCCATAATGTATTGTTCAGTATGTATTGTTCAATGTATACATCACATTGGTTCTCACGAGAGCATGATATCACGCATAAAGAACAAGCCGCAAATATTTCATTTTAATTTAAATTGGAATTTTTAATAACATAATAGATGGAGTCTGCTCTGAAGCTAGCAAATAAACTTGAAAACAGTACAGTGTATAACTGGCGTTTAATCTGAAATGATGTTTTGGAATTATAGTAACAGTTATATTAAGAATACTTAATCAATCTATAATCACGGTGTATATCACAGTAGTACTTACATATTTTACTATATTGCACTCATGTTATGTAAAATTTTAAAAAACAAAACACGGAGCCAGCTTTCCAATCATACGACGATATCGACTTTGTATTGCTACCGTAAAACGCGCTGATATTTTGAATTGAACCGATAAACTGCAGTTTATATTACAAAGAACTGTTTAACATTGTGAATGACACAATGTTTTAGTCACATACGCTTTCTGCTTCTTTCTCATTAATAACTTCTGCAAACGATTTACAATCAATACGCAAGGATGAGCAACGAAAATAATCCAACATTAAATGTGATAGAGCACATCACACAGTACTTACATACCGATTTTCTCGTGTCTTTGTCTGCTGGGCAACAGTCTATCCGTGTATGTATTGTTTTGCACAAAGCTACGTTACAACTCATCCAGCATCTACTTGGGTGCACTTGCGATGAGCGACATTGGTGTGCTGGTGACGTCATTCATGCTGTGGTTCGATTGGACAGATATTATAAATTATGAAGATTGGTTGTTCATTCTTTTGTTTGGTTTGCGATATGTATTTTTTTTCCTAAGCGTGTGGATTATAGTGGTCTTCACTGTTCAACGGTATGTAGCGATCAAGTGGCCGCTACTTCGTCGCTCCTTGTGCACAGTTAATCGTGCAAAAAATGTAGTAATTGGACTGGCGGGGTTAGCAGTGTTATACTCTATTCCATGGTTTATTATACAAAGTGCAGCGGTGAAAAATTTTAATGCAAATGATAAGAAAACAAACTTGTTGTGGATGACTGGTGGATGATTTTAATCATCATTAATGCTATTATAACGTTGATTTTACCAGTAACAACAATAATAATATGCAATACTCTGATAATTTCCATTATTCGCAAACAGAATCGTATCCGAAAGAACTTGATTTTAAGTTCCGCTCCATCCAATAAGAAAACACGAAGTTCTGATGATGAAACGTCACACATTAAGATAACAAAAATGCTTGTTATTATTTCAAGCATATTTATATGTTTAAATGCATCTGTACATTTCACCTCCTTTCTTTTTTTCTACGTACGTATTAACATTTACTCTTGAAGAAAAACCAATTATCAGATACTGGTTCTTAAAAACGCACGTAATATTAATGCTATTAATTAACTTTATCCTAAAATTAAGGTTTCTTTTTACATTTTCTAATGTTTAACTCAATGGATATAACTGTATTATTGTTTATGATTCTTTAATATCTTAAAATGATAATAATTATATTTGCAGCTAAGTGATAAACATATTTCTCTAATTTTGTTAGACTTTATCAGCTCTATTTTATGTCTAACAAATTACGGGATAAACTTTATTCTGTATTATGCAACTGGAGAGAATTTTCGCAAAGAAGTGATCCGTATTTTTCGAACACAGTTCAAATACTAAAAAGAACGAAGATATAAAGATGGAAAATTATGAGGAACAGTGCGATTAGATTATTTAATCTAATTACTAAATTAAGTTAATAAGGTTAATATAATAGAATTAAAGACAACGACGGTTAATATATATATATATATATATATATATATATATATATATACATACATATATATACATACATATACATATTACATGAATCACTAATTTATCATTTATAATTTATAATGCAGTTTTTTCCACTTTTAAATAATTTTCTTAATATATTACAATAGAAAATATTTTTTAACAAAAATAAGTGTATATAATTTGTTTTTCCTTGAAAAATCATATATTACACTATCAAAACAGAATTAAATAAAATTGTTTGTAATTAAAAACATTAATCCCAACTTTTATTTTTTATGTCTTTGGTAATTTTATTTGCTGCAAATAATTTTGCTAAATTTGCAAATTATTTCGCTAATATAACAAATTGATTTTTACTTTGCCATTAAAATTTCACCACATTAGCAAAATACATTTGTTAAAAATAAATTATTTTATTGTAGCAGCAAATAATGTGTCTTTACGAACAAATGTAGTCAACAAAATTCATCTTTTCTACCAGCAAAATAAATTTTGCTGATATATCGAATAATTTGGAAAGTTGGTTATGGTATCAAAGTTTGGTTGCTATCACATCTAATATACAATAGCAACAACAATTCTGCTGCTATAGCAAAATTCTTTTTATTTGTAATATTTTTTTCGTCCATCATCGTCCAGATACGTTTGCAATAAGCAACATCGGTGTGATTCTTACGTCGGAATTCATGCATTGGTTTCTAAATAATATAATTAATGAATATTGATTCAAAATCCTTCTGTGTGATTCGCACATAATATATTATTTTGTTTCCTGAGTGTGTGGATTGTGACTTTTACTGTTTAACATACAGTGCCCGGCAAAAGTTCCGTAACATCTAAATAACTTCTGAATGGTTCGAAATATATAATTGAAATTTATAGGGATACAATAAGATCATAAAATCTACCATTTAACGTCGAAAACACCCACCCTAACACTCCCGGGGGGCAGGGGAGGGGGCGGAAAATCTTAAATGGCATGTGGGGTCGAGTGAGGACTCGTTTGAAAGGGCTTTCCGAAACGAGAACAACGCGGGGTGATCGAGGTCTCTACGATTTTTTTTTCAAAGAGTTATGATTATTTAAACATTGTTATTGAGATTTTGCGGAAGCGAGGGCGGAAGCCACAGCGATGACGTGAGGAAGATAAGGCTTCACGCGGGCACGCGTGTTCCTGAGTGGATGGAAGTGCATGTGAGAGAGTATGGGTGATATGCGTGTGCGTGCGGGAGATTTTGCGGCCCCCCTTTCTCCCCGCCCTCCGGGAGTGTTAAGATGGATGTTTCCGAGGTTAAATGGTAGATTTTATGATCCAATTGTATTCTTATAAGTTTCAATCCTATATCTCGAACTATTCAGAAGTTATTTAGGTGCCCCGGAACTTTTGGCGGGCACTGTATACAGTGATTAAATCACTTTTGTTTTCTGTTTACCTCGTATGACATTGATATGAGTTTCCTTGATCAAGCTGAAATTCCAAGAAACAAGTTTTTCCTGAAAGTCTGGTTTCATGAACGCAGTATTGAAAATAGTCGTTTGATATTATCATGTGTTTAGACATGTTATTATTCATCAATTGATACTTGATTATCTGATCTTTTAACTAATGTATTGAAAAACTGCGCAGTTTGAAGATACATCGCGAAAGATACACACGCATATTGTCGAAACGAATGGTAATCGGGTGAATCACACATATACATTTTTATCATAAATTTTAACGACACATAATGGTGGCTTTATAAAAAAGAAATAGCATTTTGGAGATTAGTTTTAGCTCACACAATAAATTATAAATGATTGTCTTGAAACATAAATTTTACTATGATATACACGGTAAAACAAAACACATAAGACAGTCAATGTGTCAATTATTGTTGACTATTTTGGTTTGACTTTTCGGTAAGAAAATAAGTTTAACAATTCAACACATTTATTGCACATAATACAAGTTTCACTGAAAGCAAACAAATTACGATAGAGCGTTCTTCATACTGCGACTATTTCTCGTAATCGGCGAATCGCGGAAGAAGAAAAGGAATGTAAACAGCTTCGCATATTAAATAAGCACGCTATCGATCTGTGATCGTATCGATAAAACTAATTCACTTTCGCAAATGAAGGATTAACGATTATTTTCTCTTTCAATATAGATAAGTATCATAATGAATACATCCAATTATTATGAAAAAGGAACATTTACAAATTAATGTAACAGCGAACCTTCTGGCAAATGAGTTTAAACAGACTCTGTTAGTTTGCAATAGTGATGGTCATGGCGGCTGCTATTCAACACGGCTTGCGTCTTTTTTTACTCATACGTTTCATTATCGGTTTAGGTGTTTATCCCATACAGCAACCAAAGTCAAAAATTCGAAGAATTGTGTACTTAAGCATTTTATATTCATTGATAATCTGGTTTAGTTATGGCTATTTTTTTTACTATGTAATAACTTTCTTTCCATTGAGAGTACTATTTTTTACCATCATTAATATAGTTGTCCACTATATTACCATCTTTATCACATTCACGTCCGTCATTATAAATTTTTATTATGAAGAGGTACGGTTACGTTTTTATTGTTATATTATGTAATATATGCATGTATATGTATGTGTGTATATGTATGCGTTATATGTATATAAAAAACTATTTTACGCTTGTACATATCAATTTTCAATGTAACATCTCAACAAATTTTGTATTCAATTTAAGTTATCATTAAAATTAAAAATTTTTTTAGCTAAACAACGAGCTTTTCAATCATTATCATTTAAATACATATTTACGTTATTATAGAAATATAATCGATTGGTATTATTTCAGAAATTTCAAATGTGCATGAAAAGGCTTGCTGCCGTGGATGATACTTTGGAAAAACTGGGCAGTCCAAAAATATATCGAAGGATGCATATGTTATCGAAACGAATGATAATCGGGTGGATTGTGTACACTTTTGTCTCAAACTTTTACGATACATACTGGTGGCTTAAAAAAGAAAAAGCACCTTGGGGATTAATTTTAGGGCTGATATTAAATTTTTGTTTTCATATTAATACATTTGAGGATTTATTGTTTCTCTTCCTTTTATGGTTTGTACAATATTATAATAAACATAATCAGTTGCTCTTGCCATATTACAATATCTGAAACTTTTATAACGCAGGTATATAGGCACAAGATTTGATAAGGTGAATAAGAATGTGCGATGTTTATTGATAAAAGAAAATCACGAACTAAGATGTACATGGAAGAAATCTACAGTCTCCCTACATCGATATGTGAATTACAAACAAACGTTGTGGACTTCAATGTAAATTAGCACCCACATATGTCGGAGACGTTATTGACTACATGCTACTTTAATAATAAAATTTGATTAAGTTTGTCAAAATAATTATTAATTAATTATACGTAATATTGTTCGTGAATTGTGGCAACTTTTATATTTTTTAATATTAAAATTTTCTCTATTAATTTCAATCATTTGAGTCTTTATATTTGATTGTAATTTCTCTTCGTAGGCACCTTCATTTAGAATTATGTCGTATTGCTCGCGAATTGAATTTGTTGTTTGGAGTGCAAATGACTGTCGAAATGGCATCTTATTTGTTCTTTATATCAGCATTGTGTTATTTCTTTTACATTATGATACAAGAACAGCATAATAAAATATCACTGTACTATCGATTCGATAACATCTTTTGGATTTCTTTATCTTTTATAAGAGTTGCTGTTATTAGTTTTATCTGCGAAAATGTCACTGTTAAGGTAAAATTATACTTATGCATTTTTTATTATAAAATATGTATTTACAAATAAAATATATAATATAATTTAGTATAAAAAATAAGAGCAAAATGATCACAAGTTCAAATTTTTAGGCTAACAAAATTGGCAAAGTAATTCATCAACTGACAAACAGTCTTCGATATACTGACGTTTCAAAAGAGGTATTCAATATTTTAACAACAAAAAAATATATATTAAAAATGAAAATATATTATTTAAAGATAACCATTGATTATTTATTTACAGATTTGTCAATTCGCTTTACAAACAATGCAACATCCGTTAAAGTTCAATGGAATGAATCTTTTCTGTTTTGGCAACGTGTTTCTTCAAAAGGTTTATTTTTACATTATATTTATACTATAATATTTTACTTCTATATTGTACTATATCATACTCGTAGAATTATAAACATTCAATTTTTGCATGTATTTATTTTAATTTTATATCATATTTTGTACTATAAAGTATAGGACTTTACGAAATTTAAGATTATTATTATAACTATTATTACTATTTTTATTTTATCTTATACTATGCTATATTTCTGATTAAAATTTTTTATTTGTTAATAATATGCGCATTAATAATATATTGCTTTTATAAGCGTTAAGTAATATTAATAGACACATCTTTTTCCAGTTTTGCACAATGATTGTAACATTTGTAATCATTACGATACAGGTGAATATTTATGTTAATTTACCATATTTTACAACTTAAAAGGTAATAATGAAAATAATAGCTCACTAAAACTAACATTGTTGCAACGTACAATATTATTATTAAACAAATATTATTAAAAATATTATTTAAAATATTATTTATTTTATATATACATTGATAAGAACAAAATTGAATATGTTTACTTCAAAAATATGCACAAAATGGATTAACAACATCAATTCAATCATTTGTAGTGTTTAGAATTTAATAATAATTATCTCTTTTGCACATCACAAAGTGCATCAATTATTTTAATATAAGTGCTGTAATGAATAATTGTTAACATTATAAAACAAAAAAAGTATCTAGAAATCAATACAATTATGCTGCTTTCAGCAAATAAGTTTCAACAGACATTCAATATCCATTTACAATAGTAACTCTCATAGCAAAAAAGTCACAGTGACATCACAACAGACTCACAATAGAGTCACAAGGTTACAGAAAAATTTTGATGTCACTGTGATATTATCAAAAAGTTACAGTAATATCATTAGTCACAGTCGTGATAATATCATCATAATATGACATAAAATGTCGCAGAAATACTTATTACAACAACATTCCAAAAAAATCACAAAAACAGTATTTAGTCAGACATACCTTCAGAGGAAAATTTTTTCTTGTTTTGAGGTCTTAAATTCACAGTTTAAGTTAAGACATTTAATCCTGAAACACCCTGTATAGTGATCAAGTGACCGTTCCTTGGACTGAGTCAAAATCATGATGATCGGATTAGCGAGATTAGCGGTTTTATACTCTATATCATGATTAATCACAAGCAGTGTAAAGTATTTTGATGCAGAGGAAACAAACTTAACCATTAAGAGAACAAGTACTGAGAAAACAAACTTAACTGGTTGTGGATTTTAGATACATCATTGATACTATTATAATGTTTGTCATACCAGCAACAATGATAGCAACTTTTAATGCTCTAATAGTGTACAACATCCGCAAGCATAATCCAAAGCATATCCAAAGAAACTTGATTTTAAGTTCCATTGCATCCAATAAGAAAACACAAAGTTCTCACAGTGTAACGTCACACATTAAAATCACGAAAATGCTTGTTATCATTTCTAGCATATAAATGCATCTTTCCAAATTTCCTGTCAACTTCTTGCATTTGATGAGACACAAGGTAATTACTATTATTATCCCTATAAAGAAAATTTAACCATCAAATACAAAGTTTTTTTAAAAACGCATTTTACATATTATAAAAAGTTAATTAATTTATTTTATTAATTTTTATTAATTAATTTTTATTAATTAATTTTTCCTAAAATTCAAATTTTTTCCTATTATTCCTAATATTTAATTAATATAAAAACTGTATTATTGTTTATAATTTTTTAATGATAAGTTAATTATAATAACAATATTAATCATATTTACAGATCTGCAGTAGATATTGTGACTTAATTCTGTTTATCAGCCACTTAATATGGCAAGCAAATTACGGAATAAACTTTTCTACTGCGCAATTGAAAAGAATTTTCGTCGAGAATTAATCTGCATGTTTACGGAACGTTCAGATACTAGAAGAAACGAACATATATAGAGACAAAAATTATGAGGACTAGTGTAACTGATGCTATCATGCAATTATAATAAGGTAAAATAATGATGAAACAGGGCGGTACACTCATATCGTATAATAAATAACTTTTTTGAAAAAATGTTTACGGATAATGCTCACATTAAAAAATAAATCCATAATTTCTTTCATAAATATTCACATATTATCATTTTAGCACAGAGCTCGGAATTAGTTGCACATCTTTTCGCATTATATATATATTTTTTTTTTTTGCGACAAGTTGCACTTGTTTTTCCGGACTATAATTTAGTGTTTGACCGATTGTTTCATACATCACCTTATTAAAAAGTAATCTCATGGTGCATAATTTAAAGCATGGTTATTAAAAGTAATCTCATGGTGCATAATTGAAATATATAAATATATATAAATCTGAAAAAAAAATAAAATACTCGTAATATATATTTATTAACTATCAGTTTTTATCATAAAGTTAACGCTGCAATGAGAGGATGTAATTATTATTTTAATTTTGTTAATTTTATTTGTATTTCCTGTAATTATAAGCAATCCATTCTAAATAAGGAAAGGAATCTTTTCAAGAGATGCGTACAAATAATATGTTTAATGTCAAATGTGATATGTCAAATGCATCTATGGAAAGTAACATTATTTACATTAATTACAGTTGTGTAAAACATACATATAATAGGAAAAAAAGAATTGATACATTAATATGAAGTAATAAGAGAACAGCTAAACAGAAAAAATATAGTACATTTATTGAAAAATAGTACATTTATTGAATATATAAGAATGAACTATCGTACACGCGAAGACTCATTTATATATTTTAATATGTAAAACAAGAAAAAGAAAGAAATAAATTTAGAATGCTTTCTTTTTCTTTCTTAGACCTTTTAAATTTAACGAAAATAGAATAAAGCTGTCATTTTGGAATATAATTGTTAACTATTCTCAGTTAAGAATCGCAGAAAAAATCTGGAATCTTTTGAACAGATCTTTTTTTGAGTTTTTTGTGTTTTTCGCGATCAAATTTATTCGCTTTATCGAAACTCTTTAGAACTCTCCTGTTTATATACTCTCGTACAAATTGTATTTTCATGCCATAACGTAGTATAGAGCTGAAATTATGTAAAATAATTATTAAAAATGTTATGATTATAAACTACTATAAATATTTATCATTATAAATTACAAATATAATAATTAAGATGTGCAAATTTTACCAATTATTATATTTTTAACTAAAAGTTGCATATACACTTTTAATTTATTTATTTATTTGTGCTTACCGTAGTAACATAAGCTGCAATCGTTGAATACAAGTGAGCGTTTTTTGCATATGTGGCATATTAATGCTTAATAAATCAGCGACGAGTAGTAAATATTGGTTGAATGCGAGACTATCCGTCGTATAATAATTTGTACCTTCTACTAAACATCTTAGCATGTGCTCCCATTCAGGTGTTACTTGCCGTAAATATGGTCCCATTCAAGTTTCGGTGAAGTCTCGCCCCCTTTGCTTTATCTCCTCAAGACTGCCCGGGAAAAAATGCCCATGCTTGATCATACATAAGAATACATACTCATGTGTGGAGACTCCATACATGTCTATGTATGGATTTTGACCTGACATGGTCATGTACAATCATATACGCCCATGCACAATTATTCACGGTTGTATACAAGTATATATGGCTGTATATGATTGTACACTGCCATATACGGCCATGTATCAGGTTAAAAATTAATAAATAATGAAACAGTATTCATGAAAAGGAAAAACTTTATTTATTAAAACCTTGATAAAAGTTTACAAAAAACCATCAAAATTTTTATAGCAGTCAATCAATATTTTTTACCAGTACAAAAAAATAAAAAGTCCTTTTTTTTTAATTTTGTAACGTTAAATAAATTATATTTAATAAATTATGTTTTAATTTTACGTAACGTAATAGAGGTTGTCTTTTTTAATTTTAAGCAACTTAAATAATTTTAAATCTCATAGTAGATTAATAAAAAAAAAAAAATTTTTTTAATTTTAAAAAACGAAATGAGCACAAACACCCGTTCAAAAAAATTACTTGTTTTGGGCATCAGCGTTTTTCAGCTCTCTTTTTATTTCGCCCAGTTTTTGTGACATCGCGGTATTTAGTTCCTTGATAGATTGTGTTACCCACCCTTTTCTTTTTGCCAATTTCATTGCATAATCTGTAAACAAAAACATAATTTTTATACATAAATATATAACATTTTATCGCTATATAAATACGGAAATAATAATTGTGGCATAATTGAAGAATAAATATACATTACTAACCAATGATACTATTTCTTGCGTGCAAGTTTAAACAAGTGATGTCGTCTTTGTTTTCATGCACTCCGCGGTGACTTGCGCCCGTGAATGTGCAGTTCTTTAAGCTATCAAGCTTAAATACGCCTACAATTAGGCGGCGGACAATATGGCTCGCCTTGTGCGACGAACTCAATGCGACTTCCAAAACGCGTTCATTGCAGAACACCCCATCCTGCAGTAAGACCATCTGTAAAATATTAGTAATATTTACTATCATAAATGTTATTTTTCAATATCAAATATTAATTCTTAAGATTGCAATATATATGATCACAATTTCAAGATATGCTTTTTTAATGTAAAATTGCGTTTAGAAAACATTTAGGAATCTTATTAAAGGCATAGGAACTGTATTATTTTACCTTATCGCCTGGCGAATTTTGTCCTAATAATTGGTCGTTAGATTGCAGATTACGCTCGTCAACTGTAGTTGATGGGTAATCATCATCACTATATTCATCATCATCCATAATCTTATTAGTAGTTTCTTTTGCCTTTATATTTTTGATTTTTGATTCTGAAAGTGATAACACATTAAAATACAAGTATATTATTACAGTATTACAGTATATTATTTTTTTAAGTAAAGTTATTTATTCAAATATATTCATCAATAAATAATCCTCACTAATAATTTTTTAATATTTTCCAATAGTTAAAATTTATTCTTTTCTACAATTTCTATAATTAAAAAATGCCATACCTAGATCCTGTCGCAAATCCTTATTTTCGTCATCTACTATTGAATAATAATTTCTTGAAAGCTCTTTGGTCTCATTTTTTTTAAGTGCTGGTAACTCAGATTTTTTCCGCGGCTCCAAAACTGGTGCGTTTGACGCTATTTTCATTAATGCCGCGATATCTGATTGCTTCTGCTGTGCATAATGCTGAAATGATAATCAGAGAGTATTATACTGATTCAGTTTGATGAATAGCAATTAATATGTAAAATATTCATAAAATATAATTACCTTTTTTTTTGCGATTTTTTCGGGAGTTGTTAATTCCCTGTTTGACTCATCTCTGACCACGAAGCATTTTTCGAATCGGGAGAACTACTTAGGTTACTGTTTTCGATGCTGATCGATTTTTCTTTCTTTTGGATATCGATCACTTTTGAAACTTGAGCCTGCATTGCCGAAGAAAGTTTCTCCTGCCAATTTGCACTTTTATTGCTTTTCTGAAAAAAGAGTCATAATTTCATTACATTTTAAGAGATATAGGGATATGTATATTAAAGAAACAAAGTAAAAATTTTAATATATATGATTTAATCAGGGCTGGGCAAACACATTTGAAATACAAAATACAAAATACTAACAATTTTAGTATTTATTGCAAAATATCTTCAATTTTTTAATTTAAAATACAAAATTTTGTATTTTAAATCGAAAATTAAAAATTAAAAGTATTTTGTATTTTATAATTTAAATACCAAGATTGTGTTAGCATTGTACATTTTGTATTTCAAATATTTTATTGTATTTGAAATACAATTTGAAATACATTTTGCCCAGCCCTGGATTTAATATATATTGAAAATACTTACGGCTCCATTCCCTTTCAATAAAACATTTCGTGGTTTTTTATTCTCGCCCGACAAGAGTTTAGTCTCTGGCGACCACCTTTTTACAGATGCTTTTTTACGACTAGAGCCCAATTCAGACCGATCTATTACTTTCGATGCTTCCGATTTATTGCATTTACTTTTTGACGCGCGTTTATTTTTTTCTTTCAGCTTTCAACATTTTTATTTTCTCGTCAATTTTTGTTTCATCATCTATAACATATATGTAAATAATAATGTTTCACTTTAAATGTGTAATAGTCTATATATAGTCTATATAGTCTATAAAATTATAAAAATTTTTAACATTTTTTGGATATCGAACATTAACCCTTTGAAACACCATGTTACTCCTAAGCAACACCTGAGAGAATTGGAAAAAAATAGAATTTATTAATGAATCTTCATGCTGTTTGGCATAAATATAGTCGAAGGATACCTGCATCAAAGTACTGATTACATACATATGAATTTGAATAAGAAGTACATATATATAAATAAACAGTTAAATATATAATCTATGATTGAGTTGAGAAGGGTTGCACATCCAGCCATACATTATTTATGTTCATGGGCAAAGTAACGAGAAATATTTTGTGCTAGGAGATGGCTGGATGATAGATATCCAAAGGCAGATACAATTGTCGCCTTATTCTGTCGCCTTAATATTCTGTATAAATTTTATTACATATTTAATGTTTGATATCCAGAAAATGTTAAAAATTTTTATAATTTTATAGACTATTACATATTTAAGATGGTTAAAACAACAAAAAACATTAAAATATTTATTTATTATATTTTGAAATTTTATGCATATAGTCTTAATTAA